AAATATAATATGTTTTTTTTTGGTTGTGTGTGTGTGTGTGTGTGTGTGTGTGTGTGTGTGTGTGTGTGTGTGTGTGTGTGCCCATCCATGTGTGTCTTTGTGTTTGGTACTTGTGTGCAAGCGTCTGTGGAGGTCAGAAGAGGTCAATAATGCCCTTCATTATTTCACATTTCCTGGAGCTAGATCTAGAGGCAATTTTGAGCTGCCCAATATGGGTCCCCTGTAAAGAGTACTCTTAACTGTACCACACTGTGGGATATATATGTATGTATATGTACATGTATATATATGTTGTGTATATTTCTTGATTATACTAATAATGCCACTCTCTACGAGGGGGACAATTACATTCAAACTACCATACTTTTGGGAAGCTGTGATGATGCAAGTGGTCAGACTGAGTTCAAGGCTTCTTCTCTGATTTCCCTTGCTGGGGGGTTGTAAGAAAGGCCCCTGAGTCTTTTTATTTATATCATATTTTTCTTTGTTTTGAGATTTCTTGTCTTTCTGATGAAAAAATGCCCTCCTTCCAAAGACACATATCCAGCAGTAGAGAGCAAGACAGTGACAGTTATCTTCTGCCTGGGGGGTCTCCAAGTCCTCTCTGGGTGTCATTTGCTCTTTAAATTATAAACACTGACTCTAGACCTTATCCCATGAAGGACTGTGAAAAATCCATTGTTTCTTCCAGTGTTTTCAGTTATTTTGGAGACTAACAAGGAGACAAGAGATGAAGAAAGCAACTGGGGTTTCTGTTTTGCTGAATTGTCCTGGGCTGTTGTCTTGGCTTTTATGGATGATGACTCTTTCTCATTGTGTTGCCATTGTACTGAATCTTTATTAACTTCAAGTATAACAGAGCATTTCAAAATGTATAGATTATTTTAAAATAAAAATTGCAAACATTTCTATAGAACCCACAAGGTTAGGGAATTCCCACTGGATGTATCTTTTGATATATACTTTGTAATTTGTATCCACTCATGTATCAGTGTGTCCATATGACCTCTCTCTAGCTAGTGTTCCTTTTTGACTCCCAAGGATTTTTCTGTCAAAGACAAAGTGATATTTGATTCATGAGGTAAGATGATTTTTTAATGCCCTTGCTTTTTCTACTATCTAAGAAAAAAATATAAAAGGTTTGTGTTATTATGTTTGGGCTGCCATGACCAAGTACCTGAGATTGGGGGAATTTAAACAATTTTATTTATGATTCTAAAAAATAGAAACTATTTAATCTGGATGCCAGCAAACTTAGATTTTTATTTTTTTAAGATTAATATAATTACAACATATCTCCCTTCCCTTTGTTTCCCCCAGTCTCTCCCATATACTCCTACTTGCACTCCTTCAAATTCATGGCCACTTTTTTCACTAATTAAGAATATATGCATATATATTTCTAAATATAACCTGTTCAGTCTTTAGAATGTTATTTGTATGCATGTTACCATACTAACTATTTGTTACTGGACAACCATTTGGTGTGCCCTTCTCTGGGAAAGAACTTCTCCCGCGCCCAGCTTTTCTCAGTTGCCTGTAGTTCTTTGCATAGGGATGAGGGATCATGGACTTTTCCTCATCAGTGTGCAATCACATTTGGTGTCATCCTCATTCAGTTCATGTTTGGGAAATCATGTTGTCATGTTACTACAAGACACAACCTTACAGCAAACTCCATGATTAATGTCACTCTTAAAATCTCTCCACCCACTCCACCCACTCAGTGTTTCCTGAGCCTTAAGTGTGATTTTGGTTTGTATATATTTCCACTACTACTGTGCTCCACAAGTCTACACTTTGAGTCATATGTTTTTCTGTAGTGGGCTCTGGCTGTTGTAAAGAGAAGCTTCCTTGAAGTGAGTAAAGACTACACTTGTCTGTAAAATGTAACTGACTTGTAAAATGTAACTGAATGTCCCCTCTCTGAGGACTAGCTTTCATGGTCAGAATGCACCAGGCAAGCATCCAAAAGAAGGAGACAACCAATAGTCCTACCCAGCCATGATGCCAATCAACCACATCAACCAGCATGGCACAATAACCCAAGGGTGTAATAACAGTGCCACACAAATCTTGGTGGAAAACAAAAGCTCTCTAATTATACTAAAGAGCCATTCAGCAGGAGAGAAACCATGCCTGGTACTAGAAACCTAGTTTTCAGGCTGGTGAAATCATGGTTATTGAAGGATAATCTAGAACCCGTAATTTATTAAACCAGCATATCCCTAACAACAATCTATAAACAATTGTTCTTATACCTACAAACTTAGGTTTTTATGATGGCTCTCTTCTTGGCTTTCAGGTGGCTGATTTCTTCCGATGCCTTTATATGACATTTCCTCAGCTCTCTGGTGTCTTTAGGTAAGTCTCTCTCCCGCTTTACCCCTCCCTTACCCTCCTCATCTCTGCCTCTGTCTCTTTGTCTCTCTGTGTTTGTCTCTTTCTCTGTCTCCTCAAACCCTTCCTCCGCTTCCTCTCTGTGTGGTAAAAGAGTTCCACAGTGTAGTCAAAGTTGGCTTCAAGTTCACTAGCCCAGGCTGGCTTTGAACTCCCAATTCTTCTTCATATTCTTGAGTGCTAGAAGTATATGCATGTGCCACTGTAGGAGGGTACTACTCCCACCACGAGGGTCACACTCTTCTATTTTAATTGGAACCTAGTATCTTCAAAAGCTCTATTTCCAATATTATCATATTAGGAGTTATGACTTCTGCATCAGAATTTAGAGGCAGGCTATTTCAGTGCAAAGCAAAGAGATAATTTGATTAATATTATAAAGCAACATTTATCATCTATTTGTCTATCATTCATCTATCATCTATCTAGCCATCCATCCATGTAATAATGATTTGTCCAGGCAGACATCTATGACATACAATTTTTGGTCTAAAAAAGTTTCTGTGGAACAGAATAACCTCCTTGATGGGAGACGTCCTTCTGTGTATCTTATTGGTTGTTGAATAAAGCACTGTTCAGCCAATGAGGCAGCAAGTTAGGAGGTACTAGGAGTCAAGGAGGATTCTGGGAAATGTAGTAAAGTCTTGTGATCCAGGCAGGAAGTGACATAGCAGGCAGACTCAGAATATAAGCAGAGACAAGCAGGAAATCATTCTCTTCCTCCTCCTCTCTTCTCTGGAGCTGCCATGTGAGCCCGACAAGAGAGGATGCATGCTGCCAATGTCCTCCATCAGATAAGTCTTTATAAATATATAGATTATGGCTATGGTTGATACTTAAGACAGAGCAAGTATATAAGAAATTCTAATCATTGGCCAGAAGCATTGTAGCTAATATAAGTCTCTGTGTGTTATTTGGGGCCCTAACACAGTAGGCGGAACTCAGTCAGCTTGGCGGAAAGACTTATTGTTTCACTTTCCTTTCATGATGTTTGCTATTTAAAAAAAGCATAACTCTTACAGATATTTTTTCTGGAGTTTCAAAATAAGCTCTGCAGTTTCATCATCTATAAAGAAGCTAAGTAGTCTCTTTTCAGTCATGTTAGTCTACGGCATGACTGGGCTTTAGAATTCTACAAAATTTCCCCACCTACTGCTCCTAATTAAGCATTTATATACAAGACTCTGGGTGACACTGCTCATGATACTTGAAAATGCTTTTCAGAGTATGTAAATATAATGAAGTTGATTGCTGCCACTTTTTTTTTCTGGGCAAAGTAGGGAAAGAGAGGGAAGAGTTCAGGGATTTGAGTTCCTAGATCAAGCATCATATACATGACCCACAGCTGTGTGTCCTGAAGGATCCTCTTCTCACCCATAGCTACAGAGTTAACGTTGCCAAAAACTCAGTGCAGAATCTCATTTAGCAACTGTCTGGAACACAATGCAAGATGAATTCTCTGTTCTTCAGGGACACTGCTATTAAAGTGGGGACATTGGTAAGCACAAATGGGATTCTAAAGTTGAAATGGCTATCTATGGTAAGACTTTGCAAATCTGAAAACATTGAGCCTGGAATTCTGATGAGTCTACTATATTCAGGGGAGGAGGTCCCTCTGTCTCAAGTGGGGCCTGGCTATCTATGAGAATATTCCCTTGCCTGAAAAGACTATGATGGCCTCTCCTGAAGGAGCTACTATGTCAGACAATCCTACTTATTGTAAGAACACACTTCCACCCACCCTCATTGTTTCTATACTATAACTGGACTTAACTGGCTGCAGGCCCCAACTTTAAGGTAGAAAATGTATCTCAGGAAGCTTGTTAGACTACATGAAAAGCACCTGATATCCAACATTATATGCTTCAAAATTATCCTTTACATTTACTATCTATTTTTATGTATGTTTTTGAGGCTTCTATATTTACAGATTAGGAAATTCAGGTATACACACATACACACACACACACACACACACACACACACACACAGAGAGAGAGAGAGAGAGAGAGAGAGAGAGAGAGAGAGAGAAGATCATGCAGCTGAGTAAAATGCAAAGCTTCAGAGCTGACAGAAAAGCAAGATTTTATCAAAGACATCAAAGAAGATTAGAGAACTGTGGCTGACTTTGAAGACAGAGGGTAACTGAGAGTTTGTAACACAATTCATTTGGCCACAGAAAGTGAAATTGGCTCCTAATATTGACAAAGCTGTGAGTGCAGGCATGTGAGAGAGAGAGCTGGAGCTTCTTTCAATACAGTCCACATTACCATATTTTCTATTATACTATGCACATGGCCACCCTTCCCTGACTTCTTCTCTTCTGTCTCTAGCTCTGCTTCCTATTTCACCAAGCATTGGACAAACCTAATTTACACAGCTTCAACACAAATGTGGGGAAAATATTAGCATTGTGGGAAAATAGATCCGTTAAGTAGGAAGCTGTGAGATGAATTGACCACCATACTTTGAAATACTAAAACTGATGACAAAAACTTTACAGTTTAGATGAGATTTATTTCTTCACTCCCAGAAGGTTGTGATATATTCTTAACATTGACTTGTTGCCATTATGTTTTAAAGAGGAACACATTCTTTGAAGGTTCTGCATGCCCTTTATCTCTGGTGAGTGAATTATGCAGCAAGCACAGTTGAGAACACAGGTAGTGAAGAACCAACTGCTTAATCCTCATCTGGCTCCACTATCTGGGGTCTGTGGTTTTTGATTAAACGTGCATGTTAGTCTGAATCTTCAGACTGCTGTTGATCTTTCTGAAACAATGAGGAAGAAGTGTCATCCAGATCTTTGGATGAATTTGAACAGGGGGTTGTATTGTTCTGCCTCTCTTGCTCTGATGCTACATTGGATAAATAGGTTACATATGTGTATGGAACCAAGCTCTGACAAGAAGCAGGATAACTATCTGGCCTCTCATCTTCTGCCTTCTGGTCTTTTGGTTTCTGGAATGTATCTTCTGTGTCTCTGGGTTCTCTGTCTCTTGTTTGTACATCATCTGCATATGTATCTCTTCTTAAAACACCAGATTCAGAGTCTTGTTGGTCATTGTATTGGCACAGACCTACTTGAAATACAAAGTTAGGAAACTGATGATCTTGGGTATGTTGGACTATGGTGCTTCGGGGTTGGATGTCTTGGTGTAGTGCTCCTTGCCTTAAAGATTCTCTCTCTAATAGCTCTTGGGATTCCCAGTCTAGGCCAGGCTGTATTTCAAACTGCCATTCTTGTACTTTCCAATCTTTGTTTCTCCAGCCTTGACTTCTCCGGTCTTGGGATCCCAGGCTAGCAGGCTGCCAGGATGGATTTGACAAGTATGAAGATGACTTTTCTGTGAATTGAAAGTTTTGTGAGTCCCAGTTCTCACATGGCTGTGTTGGGGCTCTCTTTAATAGCATTTGTTGTCTTTCTTGCGAATTTGGGAACTGGCTCTCTGGGGCTTTCTGCTCTTGCATCTGCTGGTCTTCAGCTGGTTGAATTTGAGCTTGTTCTTCTGGACGTTGCTCCTTATCAGATTCCTGATCTTCTTCCTCTTTGCCATTAATATGTCCTTCAGGGTATAGCTCCTCTACAGATTTTTGGTCTTTGGCTTGCTTATCTTTGGATCGTTGTACTGGGACCTCCTCCTCTTTGGCCTGCTGCTGATCAGCTTCCTGGTGTAGGAATTGCTCTGAGGTTTGAGTATATGCATTTTGTTTCTCTGTGGTATGCTTCTTTGGGGATAGCCAGGATTTGATTTGCTGATCTGTGGATTTCCTTCTTGAAGTTTTCCTTTGTAATTCTACAGAATTCTTCTTTGTGGGTTTGTAACCTTGGATTTGCTGCAGGTCCAGGGAATGTCTCTTGGGATGGAATTGTCTAGGTTTGCCTAGCAAGGATAAGGAAAGTCTTCTTGAGTTTTTCTTGCTCTTACTAGATTGCCACTCTTGAGTCATCTCCATGACTTCTGTTCGAATGTCCTTATAAAATATTTCTTGACCATGCTGGGTTTGAACTTGACTGTTTACTGCTTGAAGATCTGAGAATGACATGTCATTGGGTGCTGTATTTTGGGTTTGTGTGCTTTGGGATATTCTGTCTTGAGATAGTACATCTTGGTATTGTATATCCTGGGATGGAGTATTTGGGGGGGCAAGCATTCGTGGTAGAGTGTCTGAATATTCAGTCTCTTGAGATACTATATCTAGAGTTACTGTATCTTGGTATGGAGTTTCTTGGGATGGGGTCTTTTGGGATGGAGTATCGTGGGATGATCTGTCTTTAGTTGGTATATCTTGGAATGACAGCTCTTGGTATGAAGTCCCTAGGGATGGAGTCTCTTGGGATAGTCTTACTTCAGTTAGTGTATATAGGTATGGTGTATATTGGGATGATATGTCTTGAGTTGCTGTATCTTGGGATTGCATGTCTTGGTATGTGCTGTCTTGGAATGGTATGTACTCAGAAGGCAAGTCTTCAGATGTCAGATCATAAGCCTGTGACATACGGGATGATGTGGGTTTAGATGTGGGTAAGGCTTGTGTTGACAGACCTGCCAGTAATGTTTGGTATGATAAACTATCATGTAACAAAGGGAGTGCATTATGTGAAGATGGAGTTTTAAGAACTTGGAGTGACACGTTTTGGTTGTCAAGCAATTTGGGTTGCGGATCAGAGAACTTAGATTCTAAGTCCTCATCATTTATGTTATTGCTTCTAGACTCTTTCTGAGAAGAAATATTTTTTGAAGACTCAGGTTTTAATTGGGGAGGTAAATCATTCAGTTTAATCTCTTCCTCTAGGGAGGGTGAAGAAATAGTTTCCTGTTCACCTGGAGCATGCATAGAAGATGTACCCTTATCACTTTTCTGTGGGATATTTTTGGCAGCTGAAGGATTTCTTGAGACTCTTAGCTTGAAGAAAGCATAACCCCCCAAGAAAATGGTTCTTATGTTTGAACTTGAATTAGAACTGGGAGATGGTTTTTGAAACTCAAATTGTAATTGATTATTTTCTTCTGACACAGACCGTTCAGTATTTTCAGGAATTTCTGAAGGAAAGAGGAATACAGCCTATAATACCAAGGGGGAAAGTAGAGTGTTAATAGGCCAGAATTGTCTTTATGTCATTTTCCTACTGTATTCTCATATTATCTTTTCTCTCTCATGTCCACATATAAGTACAAGGGAAATGAAGCTCTCCAGCCTTTCCTGTTTGTTTATTAGCACTGATTTGGTTTAGTCACTATCCTTATAGCCTAGATACTGAACAAAGGGATTTGATCAAAATTGCCTCAGGATTTTTTCCGTAGTGAATAATACTAAATTTTCTAAGACACTTAAAGTATCCAGTTAATATTCACAAACAAAAGTCTACTATTTGATTTGTTAATTATTTAGATGAACTGAATGCTGATGATCAAAGGCAATCAGAATTCAACTGAAAGTGTTGACAATTAAAATCAGACTAACATATGAGTAGATAATGATAAAAATTGCCCAGCACAATCTTATTATTTAAATAGGTACTAGGTTCTGAGGAAGAAGTTAATTTATACTATCATTTAAAAGAATGATATATTCAAGAAAAATATCTATCTAAGGAGATGAAAGATTTCTATGCTGAAACCTCAAAGTATTGCTGAAAGTATTTGTAAGAACTAGACAAATGGAGATCTATCTCTATGTTCATTTATAACAAGGCTTAAACTTGTTAAAAATCAATGCTATGTAAAAAATATAAAGATTCAACATCACAATATATTCAAACATGTAAATAACAAAAGAGAAGAATAAATAAATTAGATTTGATAAAAATATGACTTTTGTGCATTGATAATACTATTCAGAATGTAAAATAAAAATCTGAGTGGACAGGGTGGGATGAAATATTTGTAGACCATATGTCTAATAAGAAATTACCAAACTGTACATATGAAAACACTACAATACAGTAACAACAATAACAAATGAAAAACCTAATTAAGGAATAGGCAGGGACCTATAAAAAGCTCTTATTCAAGGAAGATCTATCCCTACTAACCTGTGCATCACTAACCATCAGGAAAAATCCAAATTAGCCTTTGGGATGGTAGGATTGAACTATATCCTGATTGCAATGGCACTTAAGTGGATGTGTAAAATTTGTCAAAACTTATTGCACAGCATACTTTGAATGGGTGCATTTGATTGTTTAAAGTTAAAAGCAAGCAAGGAAGCAAGCAAACACTCTACCTAGCACAGACTAGACTGCTGTTGTAACTCAGAAACAAGGCTGGGAGTTGCACCACAGAGTCAGAATCCTGTGTTCTGTCATACTGAATATGTTAATTGACCTCTCTGTTAAGCCTTCGTTCATTTTGAAGTAGAATAAGGGTGTTGATATAGTATTAACATCATTATTAAGTTGGCACCGAGCAAGTATAATAATGTTTGACATTGTAAACAATCAGTAAGGGCATAAGTTCCCAATGTCACAGTACTATGGGTTTTCTACAAAGTCTCATATTTCCCATTTGTTTTTCAGGAAGATGAAGAATTATGTATGAACAGAGATAACTGAGGACAGTAGATAAGCAAAGAAAGCAAGTTATCTTAAAGAGTCGAGTGAGCATCAGTCTTTTAAGCTCAGGACTCTCTGACCTTCCTAATTTAGGAGTTTCAGTGTGGTTGGTATCTGAGCATATTGCTTCTGCACAGCACAATAACAGAGGTCAGGTCAATGTGGAGTGATGTCCTCAGTGTGAATGCAGTAGTACCAACCTCTGTGCTATTTGTAGCATTAGAGGGAGAGTGTGGGAAGAGACAAGAAATAAAGGATTGCTGGAAACCTGTAGGCAAGCTGGCCTGGGGTATGCAGTAGTGAATAGCAGGAGAGACATTTTCTCAAGGCAAAGTAGAAGCTGAGGACCAATAACTAAGGTTGCTCTCTGACCTCCACCTCACATTGTGGTATGAGAGTACCTGCTTTCTCACACACACAGGAACAGGTTCTCTCTCTGTCTCTCTCTGTCTCTCTGTCTCTGTCTCTCTGTCTCTCTGTCTGTCTCTCTCTGTCTCTCTCTGTCTCTCTGTCTCTGTCTCTCTGTCTCTCTGTCTGTCTCTCTCTGTCTCTCTCTGTCTCTCTCTCTCTCTCTCTCTCTCTCAATTCCCATGACAACCTTGGGCGCACCTCTCTTGATTTGGTCCAGCACCAGCTTCTTAAGGATGCAATAGTCACAGAGATGCTTAACTCTGCTATGGTGATGATTAATAAGACTGACAAAATTCCCTGCAAAAGAGGAGGAGAAAGAAATCATTTTTTAGGTCAAAATCAGCATCACTTTAAAAACAGAAGCCAAGAACACTTTACACCCCATGACTGAGTTTGGGAAAACTCATATTCATGCTATTCTGTAGCTATTAAACATTGCATCATTTTCATATCTTTCTGGTAAGGAGTAACAAATTCCAATGTTAGTAGGTCCAAGACGGTCTCTAGAGTGAAACAAGGGGGACAGTAGAGAGCAATAGCATTTCTATAAGCATCCTCCATTTCATTACAATGACTTATTTCAGTGTGGGAATGTACTACCCCAACACCTGTTTTTTTTTTCTTCTCCAAGGAAGCTGGTTATGAACATTTTTTTTGAACTGAAAGTTTCAGCTATGTATTCACCTATGTGTCAAATAAATCTGCAAGATGGATCTAATACACAGACTGGCATATTGCAAGCACTACTTTAAGGTAATGTTTTCATTGAGAAGCAGGATGATGCAGTGTGGTATTAAAAAAAAAAGCTCAAGTACTAGAGGAAGCAAAAGCTGGGTACAACTGGGTCCAAGGTCACACTTATATGGGGCAAGTGACTAAAGCTCTCTGCATCTCGGTTTCTTTTGAGCACATGCAGGAGCTTAGATAACTGCCTTGTTGCTAAAGCTAAGTGTATGCATACCCTGCTGGGTGAAGTTCCCCACCTGCAATCTGCTTCCAGCAGGACAGAAATGGCCTCAGTCCTTGTAAAACTTCCATCATATGCATTTGGATCAAGTAGAGCAGGATTTTATCCTTTACAGTTGTTTTCCAACTGTCCTTAGGAACCCACGTCTAATTGTGGAGTTTTTCTCAGTATACACAAGGAGGTCTTTTGGTTCACTTCACCAGGTGGTTTCAGGGATTAAATCATGGGAGATAATTTCCCATGATTCTTCCTCACTTTTGTCCTTACTGTTTCAAATTTTCAAATTCTAGGACCCAAGTCTTCCAGATGTTGCTATCAGAAATGGATTAAAAGCCCAGAGTTTGCTTTGGGACCAGAGGAAAAGGCTCATTGGAATCTTTGACATGATTGAAAAAGATGTCAGGGCTGGTATGGTGACTCAGCAGGTAAAAGCACTTGCTATGAAGCCTGAGGTTAAGCCTCAGGATCCACATGTTAGAAGGAGATAAAGAACTCCTGCAGTTCTCTGATGTCCACATGTAAGCTATGGCATTGTATACCACACACACCTCAAATAAGTAAGTGTAAAAATAATTAAGATAGGCCGACCCATCAGCAACTAGGTGAGTAACCCCTGCTTTTACCCAACTCCTGTCCAAAGCACCATTCACCCAGATCTCCCCAGGCTTGTGCATGCTTGGAGTAGACACTCCCAGGCAGGGAGGAGCTCCCTGAATCTGGGTACAGGCCACTCTTCCTTCCCTTCCCGCCGACTGATCCCGCAAGGAGGTGAGTGATTCACTGCTTTTACCCAACTCCCTTTCAAAGCCCCATCCACCCCGATCTCCCCAGGCCTGCTCCTGTTTGGGGTAAACCTGCCCAGGCAGTGAGGAACACCCAGAGCCTGGAAACACCCCACTCTTACTT